TTATTGATTAAAATGCTTTGTTAACTAGATCGTTGTGGCTGTCCCTGCTCTTTCTAGTCTCAAAATTGAGATGTGGCGTATCTTCTCCTCCCTTTTCTCATCTGCAGTGCCAAATAATTGAGTTAAATGTTGGTGGGGAGATCTTCACAACCACGTTGAGCACTCTGAAGAGGTACCCAGGATCCAAATTGGCTGAGATGTTCAGTCAGGCTATACCCCGAACAGATTCGGCGGGACGATTCTTCATAGACCGGCCGGGGACTTATTTTAAATACGTCCTTGAGTATCTGCGTAGTGATCAGGTCCCCTTACAACATGTTGAGGAGGTTTATAAGGAAGCCGCCTACTATGACATCAAGGCTCTGATCAAACAACTGGAAGAGTCTCCTCAGATCTTTGGTGAGCTGGTGGCCAGGAAGCAGTTCCTGGCTCGGGTGCCCAACTACTCTGAAAGCATCGAGCTCATGATCCGAATCGCCCGGGCAGAAGCTGTGGCCTCCCGTCAATCCAGCGTTATGCTCTGCGTGATGAAGACTTTGGAAGATGTGGCGAGGTGTGGCGATGCTCTCAGCACCTTAGACGTCTCCAAGAAATCTGTGGTCCAGTTTGGCCCGTGGAAAGCTGCCCCGAACGTTCAGGATCTCCTGGACTGCATCAAGATGGACATAGAAGCCAAAGGTTACAAGACGTCTTTCCAGAGCTACGTTCCAGAAAAAGGCTTTCGTTTCAAAGCCAATGACTTCTTCTACAAGTTTTTGTTCCATTGGTGGTAGCCCAAAGCTCATAACTCCTAAGATCTTGAAGCAGGGGTGGGATTCAATTTTTTTTTACTACCGGTTCTGTGGGTGGGTGTGGCTGGATACTGTAAAATCTCCAGTCAGAGGTGGTGTTTGCCGGTTCTCCGAACTACTCAAAATGTCCGCTACCGGTTCTCCGGAACTGGTCAGAACCTGCTAAATACCACCTCTGGCTAGATAGATGATAGATAGATGATAGATAGATAGACGACGAGGAGGAGGAGATACACAATTAGATAGATAGGTGATAAATAGACAGTCAGTTGGACAGACGGACAGACACAGAGATAAACAGATAGATAATTAGATGGAGAGAGAAAGATAAATAGATGGATGGATGGATAGATAACAAAGATGATAGATAGATAAGATAGATAGATAGATAGATAGATAGAGATGATTGGTAGGGATAGATAGATAGATAGATAGATAGATAGATAGATAGATATAGATGATTGGTAGGTAGATATAGATAGATAGATAGATAGATAGATAGATAGATAGATAGATAGATA